ATAATCTGGCTTTGTCCCCATAGTTATCAGGAAACTCAGTTCGAGGCAGGGGTGGGGGAGGTGAATGAGTGTGAGAGAGATGAGAAAGCAAGAGAAGGAGAAGAGAGCCCCAACCCTGGCCCACACTGGGTTGGGACATAGCGGGTAAGGCAGACAGCACTTCTGGCTTAGAAAGGATACCAACTACCCTCAGAGGAAAGTCCCTTGAAGGCCCACCCCTCCAAGGGAACTTTGAAGAACACTTAGGTTCTTGGCAGGCACTGAAGAGCTGGTTTGATTCGATCCCCTTGGCTGCATTAGCAGAGGCACATGTTGTAGGATGAGGGAGGTGATGGTCCCCTCTCAGAATAGGAGTTGCCTTCTCAGAGGAGGCACGGACTAATTGTGATGGACAAGGGGTCGGAAGAGGGGATCCTAGAGGAACAAGGATACACCTGGGCTAAACTAGAGGGACTTGGTTCCCGGTGCAGATTTCGGCAGCTGCCCTGAGGATGGCCCGAGAATGAATCTTACAGGCAGGCCGGCTTCGATTTAGAATAAGGGACAAATGTCTGCTCCAAAGACACAAAGTGGCCAAAGGGTGTTGGAGAAGACAACTTTGTGCCAAATGGAAGTGCCAGCCACAGCACCCTGGGGACCTCAAGCCATAAGGAGTAGTGGCCCTGCATCCCAGTGCTTGAGTCTTCATGTGGCCCTGGACAAGCCCCTGCCCTTCTCTGTGCCTCAGTTTCCCCACCTTTACCACGAAGGTCTTGAACCAGCCTTGCCCTGTCCATGTATGGCACTGAGAACTTGAAATGGGGCTACTGTGACTGAAGAACTGAATCCTTAATCTGATTAAGTTTTAATGAACTTAAATTTAAATGTAAAAAATGGACAATTAAATTATTGGAAAACTTTAAAGTATGTTAGGAACAACTTGGGATATGAATCTACATTTTCAACTTTGTATCTTATGAAACCTAAACACAGACCCAGTTTTTTTTTTTCAATAATAATTTAGCATCTGAATTGAGAGGTGCTATACATATAAGCTATACACTGGGTTTCAAAGACACAGTATCAAAAATGCAAAATACCTTATTAATAATTTTTATATTGATTACATGTTGAAATGTTTGTATTTGGGATCTATTGGAGCTAAATAAAATGTCACCACCATCAATTTCACCTGTTTCTATTTACCTTTTAAAAAATGTGACTATTAGATCATTTTAAAACCACACACGTAGCTTGTATTCTGTTTCTGTCAGACAGCCATGGACTTGACAATCCCCAGGTCTCTTGCTCCTCTAGTAATAAAATCCTAGCAATGGTCATGGCCTCAACCATGGCCAGGCAATGTGTCCACACTCCACCTCTTATCTCATTCAATTCTCAACACAGAGCTCAGAGGAAGGGATTACTCATCCCATTTTAGAGCTAAAGACACTGAGGCTCAGTGAGACGAGGGCCGGGCCTGCAGGTCACCCAGCCAGGTTAGAAATGAGACGTGAGCCCTCCGTTCCTAGGTGTCCCTGGGCCCCGGCTGGTCCTGGTTGGGGAACTGTGAGATCAGGATACAGGGGCTGGTGGGCTTTGCTGGTGGACGGAGGTGACTGCAGTGGCTGACTCCTTGTCCGAAGGAGAAATGAGTCAGTGCCAAAGTGTCCAGTACAGCTCCAGGGAGACGGAGTCACCCCCGGGCGGGCGGGCAGCTGGCCACTGGTTCCGACGGCCCTCTGCAGCTGGGAGCATCCCCATGGTGTGGGAAACCCTGAGCAAGTGCTGGCGCATCCAGTGTGGGGAGGCCACGGGGCCAGAAGGAAGACTTTCACTGGGCCCCCATCCATATAGATGTATTTCTGGAAAAGCCCTGGTGGCTCATAAAATTCTATTTTTAAACACTCAGCTGTTTCCAGCCACAGAGTGGGAGATACTTGTCTTGCAGTCCTGATGCCAAAGAGACTCAAATACAGGGTTCTCACCACCTCCGTCACCAGACACACACTCAGTCTGGCCTCAATGATCCTCTTTCCAGCTCCAGTGACAACAAAATATGAACATAACACTGCCACCACCACCACCACCATCACCACCACCAAAAACACCAGCATCATCATGTCCACTGTCACCACTACTGCCACTGCAATCACCACCACCAACACTATCACTACTACGATTGCCACTATCATCATCATCACCACCACCAAAATCCCCACCACCATCCATCATCACCACCGCTACTACCACCATCACTGCCATCACCACTATAACCACCACCACTACCACCACCATCACCATCACTACCACTACCATAATCATCATCACCACCAAAATCCCTACCGCCATCCATCATCACCACCGCTACTACCACTATGACCACCATCACCACCATCATCACCACTATCACTACCACTATCATCATCATCATCAACATCATCACCACCAAAATCCCCACCACCATCCATCATCACCACCGCTACTACCACCATCACTGCCATCACCACTATAACCACCATCATTACCACTATCACTACCACTATCATCATCATCACCACCAAAATCCCCACCACCATCCATCATCACCACCGCTACTACCACCATCACTGCCATCACCACTATAACCACCATCATTACCACTATCACTACCACTATCATCATCATCACCACCAAAATCCCTACCACCATCCATCATCACCACTACTACTACCACCATCACCGCCATCATCACCACTATGACCATCACCACCACCATCACCACTATAACCATCACCACCACCATCACCACTATAACCATCACCACCATCATCACCACCAGCAGCTTCTAGTCATTTCCTTTCCCAAATTCATAAAGGCAATCTTTTATATTTCTGTTGCATTTTAGAAAGCACTTTCCTATCCAAAGTTTTCTCTTCATCAGTGAGAAAACCAAGGCTCAGAGAGAGGCAGTGATCTGTTCAAGGTCATGCAGAGAGTGAGATCAAGGTCATGAGCCAGATCTTAACCTTTGGACTTTGGGTCCGGGTCTATTTCTGCCGCACACTTTTGCCCCTTCCACAGTTGGGATACTCAAAAGCTCCCTGAAAAAGGGCCCCTGGAATGTCGGGACTCAAAGTGATCTCAGCACACATTCCTTCCAAATCCTTCATCAGATCACGGGCAGGACTGAAAGAGGGCAAGGGTGTGTGGGAGGTCACACAGCAAGTTCCTGCTAGAGAGTCGGGGCCAGTGTCCTTCCCTCTGAACTCGTCCTGTTAAATTCAGTGTGGCTGATGTCGGGGTTGGGCAGGATGTGGTCGGTGGGGTAGAAGGGGGCTGGTTTGTGCAGGGTTCATGCTAAAGAGAGTGATATTACTCTCGCGGTACTGGGGAGCCATGGGAGGTTTAGGCAGGAGAGGGAGGACCACAGCAGAAGACCCTGAGGAGCCTGCTGCCGAAAGGCCTCCCCCACAACTGCCTGAAATAGGCACGAATGTCATTTGCCCCCAGGAGCCCTCCGTGTGGCACGCAGCCATGTACACTCACCCGGACGCCAGTGATGCCAGGCGGGCCAGGGGGGCCATCCTCGCCCATCAGTCCCTCCTGGCCCTTCTCACCACGCTCACCGTCAGGCCCTGCGTCACCCCTGTCCCCCTGGGTGGGAAGGGAAGGAGGAGAAGAGAGAGAGAAAGAATAAATTAGTCATCAAGCCCAAACCTCAGGGCTCACTCAGACGTCCACAGCTGACCAGCTTCTGCATTCATTCTCTGACGGTTCCCTGAGCTGCCACAGGATTGTGCTGGCACAGCCCCATGGCACAAGGAACATCCCTGACATGACGATTGCTAGTGTCCGTACCTGGGCCCGGGAGGGGGTGGCTCAGGAAAGAGAAGACCCTGACCACCCCTCACCCCGCCGCCCCCATGAAGTTCACAGGAAGGGACCAGGAAGGGGAGACTAGGGTTCTCTCTCTCTCCAATGTAGGCACACGGGGAAGACAAGAATCGTAAGAAACTGAAATAAATTTTTCTAAAGGAAAAAATTCACCCAATTATGATTCTCAGAACTCTCCCATTTTCCTGAGTTGCATTTTCGACCTTTGCTCACATGCAAAGTTTACAGCGTTCATAATGAGAGGTGATGGTTTTGATGGCTAGGAACCAGTCTCAGAGCAGCGAAACAGTGGTTCCAAGATTGCACAGCCAGTTAGCAACGAGCTAAGCTTTAAAGGCAGAGTCCAATGAGACTGCATGGTTCTATAGTTCCTTTGTTAATATCTTACTCTACTGGGAGCACGTTTACCCATTGCTGTCTGCTCTGTGTGGCTCTCATTCTCACTGGCCCCAGAACATTCCCTCTGGCGAGTGGACAGCAGCTAGCACTTGTACAGAATCGCGCCGCCCATGTCCCGCTGTGTCTGGCAGGCGGGCTGTGCCAGAGGGGGCATGAGCTGTTGCCCTTGGCCCCATGGGCAGAGTAGGTGCGGGGGGTGCAGCCTAGGCAGTGGCCGCAGAACGCTGCCTCCATTGGGGCTGGCAGGCCCGGTGGGACCTGTGGCCGGTCTGAAGGTGGCTCACTGTGACTATCAGAGAGACTGTAGGGAGAGGGTATGACGTCATGGGTGCGAGGAAGGGTGGGTGGGGAGCGGGCTTAGAGAAGCAGCGTCTTTGCCAGTTTTGGTTCCTGGCGCCACACTTTACGAGGGACTCGGATAAACTGGTGTGCGTCCCGGAGAAAGAGCGGGTGCAGAGGGCATGAAGCTGGAGCCTGGGAACAGGGTCGCTGAGAGCATGCACTGCAGGCCCCTCCTGCTGGGGCTGGGGCTCTGGGTGCAGGGGGCTGGTGTGGGGGGTTGCTGGGGCAGTTTCTAGCTCAGCCAGGGAGGACTTCCCAGTGGAGAGGGATCCAGAGATGACACAGATGAGGGAGAGAGACTCCAAGCTGTGGTGTGGGCCAGCGCGGAGCAGACCTGGGCTCCAGGAAAGAGAGGCAGGTTGCTGTCTGAGGCTCCTTCCTACCAAGATTCTCAGATCCCAAGCGGGGCCTGGCGTGGAGACAGGGCCGGCCTGATGACACTCGTGCAGGCCCCCCTGGCTCCAGGATTCCCCTTCTGGCCTGTGGTCCTGGCCACCCGCTCTCCCGGCTCTGAGAGGCAGGCAGCCTGCTCAGGTGGCTGAGCTGCTTTCCGGCCAAGGGCCTTGGCCCAGGCCCTGCAGGGGCTCTGGCTCCAGAGAGCTCCCACACCCCCACATCTGGGCTCTCACACAGCTGGGCGGGCGGAGCGGGGGGAGTCCTTGTGGATCCCATGCAGAATGGGCTCTGGGTGCTGAGAATCCCAAAGTCCTAGGACATCTGCCAATGCACAGAAGAGGCTTGCAAGTTGCCTAGTCAACTCTCTCCACTTACAGATGAGGAAACTGAGGCCCAGAGAGAGAGGCAGAGACTTCCCAACACCACACGCAAGTCAGTGGCAGGGCACTGGCGAGCGCCAGGGTACTGGCTCCTTCTGGTGCCAAGGTTCAGTGCTCGGGGGACAACACCTCCCTCACCTCTCGGGTTACGCTGCCTACATTCCAATCTCGCTGCCACTTCTCACCAGCTGTGTGACCCCGGGCAAGCCACCTGGTTTGTAAACTAAGCACGTGCTGGAGAAAGGCTCGCTGTGACCAAGAGTCGCCGCCACCGTCCTCAGCACCATCGATGGGCTGGCTGTCAGCTCTCTGTTCACTGTGAAGTCTGTGCACCTCCCAGGGGTTGTTTTCACCGGGAAGGTGATTGTCAACAAACAAACGCCATAGAGAAAACGGCTTCTCTCCCGGGATACAGGCGGGGACCCGGGAAGACACTGCACGTGGGTGTGACGCCTCTGGCCCAGGGACTGGGGAGGACTGGCCCTGGAGGGGGTGACAGAGGGAGCAGCCCGGGCTGCGGAGCCACGGCAGGTGCTGGAAGGACTGTGTGAGGCACCAGACCTGGGACCCCCTCCCATCCCACCTCAGCCACGATTCCAAGGAGTGGAAGGTGGCTGCCCAGAACCGGGCAAGCCTCCGCATCCTGCCTGTTTTCTCACCTGTGCCCTGGGGATGCTAAGGGATCTGGGCCACAGGGCTGCTGGGGGGATTACATGTGTTCACTCAGTAAAGCTCCTAAGGCAGGTGGTGCAAGCACACGGTGGGTACACAAAGCATTTTAGCCAGAATGTTCTTCAACATTACTGGCAGGGAACAGGCACTTGGCACAGGGCGTGGAGGGGCTGTTGGATGCTCCCGTTTACACCCTCGGTGCAGCCGGGTTGAGAGAGGCAGACAGGGGGCGCTCTTGCCCTTGCAAGATAAATATAGGGCAGGTAGATGGAAGCCAGCAGGGGCCTGTCCCGGAGGCATCCCGGGAGAGGGGGAAGCTCTGGACCAGAGCAACTGCGGAGACAGGGAATGGGGGTGGAGGTGTAGGGGTGGGGGAATTCCGGCCCAGAGAAGAGGGGTGCTCATCATGGAGAATAAATGGATGACAGAGGGAAGCCCGGGACATGGCACGTGGGAGCCTGGGCTGGGGCGGGAGAGGGGGGCACTCACACAGTGTTACTGGTCAGCACTGGGGAAAGCCCACTCTTGGGTCAGGGATGGAGGCCAGAGACAGGCCTGAGCGGGAGGTAGGGCTGGTACCGGAGAGCAGCACCAGCACCTCCTAAGGTTCTAGCACCTGCGGCTGACAGATGACGTGGCGGGTCTGCGTTAGGCCCACAGGCTTTGATGCCCATGAGCCCCGGGTTTGAATTTTGGATCCTCCACTCACAGCAATAGACACTGGACGAATGCACCTCTACCTCCCTCTGAGCCCAGTCTCTTCCCCTTTAGGGTGGGCACACGGTGCAGAGAGCAAGCCAAGGCTTGGGTCTTGGCTGTGCTAACCATCCGCTGTGTGTGCTTGGGTAAGTTGGCTAAGCCCTCTGAGTCTCTCTTCATCTCTCTGTTTATCTAGGACTTAGCCCACAGTGTTGATCAAGGTGATCCATGTAAAGGGCTCAGCAGAGTACCTGCTACATGCGTGACTAGTCCTCCATAGGTGGTGCTCATAGGTCATGGGTGGTGATGATGTTTTCCCTGACCTTTTAGGATGTTTGGAAGATAATCGATATCAGAGCTGCTGGTGTTCAGGTACCACCCTTAGCCAAGAGAGGCTGCACTTTTGAGGAGAAGGGAAGTGGGGAGGAGTGGAGTGTGGGATGGTCCTCAAACCCACCTGAGCAGGTGGGGACAGTGGGCAGGGCTCACCCTCACCCACTCTCGATGGGAACAGCCTGAGGTCTGCTCTCGGGGCTTCAGGAGAACATGGTGTTTCTGGGAGAAAACTTAGGGACTGGATGGGAGGGCAGTGGGAGGACAGGGAGGGGCAGTTCCAGGACACCCCTCCTCCCCAGACCCTGCGCCAGAGGACACTTACCTTCAGCCCGTCGGGCCCTGCAGGACCACTGTCACCTTCGAGGCCCGGCTCTCCCTGGAAAGCGTGGTGGGAAAAGACGAGGAGACATTACTGGGGAGGGGCCCCCTGTGCTTTTACTTCCTCCCCCTCCTTGGAGCAGGACCCCCAACCCCTGATCTCCGGGCAGTGGGGCCTGGCACACACACAGTGGGGGCTGACTCTGTGAATGAGCAGGGGGGTTGAGGCGCCCACTCAGTTTCAAGAAAGGAGAGGCAGACGCCCAAGCACAGCCTGCCATCTGCAGAGTAGGCTGGCATGGAGGCTGCATGAGGTCTCGAGTTAGAAACTGCTGGTCACAGAGCCATCCTGGTTGGTTGGCTAGACCGGGAGGCAGTGCGGCCTAGTGGCTGAGAAAGGCCTTGACGTCAGGCAGACCTCAATGGCCCCACTGGGCTTCCCAATCATTGACCACAAGCAAACTACTCAGCCCTCACAGGAGTCTGTTTTCTCATGTGAAAATGACGAGCACCCACAAATGGTAATGGTTGGAGATGCTATTCCTGGAATTGGAGTGAGTCCTCACGGAACTCCTTGGTGGAATCCCATTTCTCAGATGAGGAAAGTGAGGCCAGCCCTCAGGCTTTCTTGCCAGCAAGTCTGGGAATGAAACCCAGATCCGGATTAACCCAAAAGAAACCGATTTCTTGGTTGCAGGCCTTCTCAGAGCCTTGAAAATGCTACCGCTAATATTAAGGGGGAACACCGAGCCTGCAGTGAGTCCCAAACGTGCTGACCACAGAATGCTTTTCTTGGAAGCCCACCTCTACACTGTGGAAACACTGCCCCACCAAGACAGACTGACGGAGGCTGTAGAGACTCACGATCTATTTCTGCAAGTGAGGAAACAGACTCAGGGAAGCTGAGCAAAGCCCTCCCTCACCCCAATTTGCTGCAACTTACCCGCTGCCCAATGAGGCCTTGCTCCCCAGGGGTGCCCAGAGGCCCAAGGTCACCCTAGGAGAAACCAAACACAACTCCATGTGGCTGGGTAGGGCCAGCCCCAGCCCTCACTAGCTCTGACTGGGGGTGGGGCTCCTTACTCCCAAGAACCAACACGAAACTGACGAACGCCAAGCAGAGCCCCTGTGGCAGCAAGCCCTGGCCACCACCCCCATCATCACGGCTCACACTTCTGTAGCGTGTTCCAAGTGCAGTGGGCCCTTTAACAAGGCTCGGGTCAGGGGCACAGTGGAAGATCTGCATGGAACTAGAGTCGCCTGGCATACGCAGGTCCCTAACCTCGGATCTGACCCTTGGACAACGCAGGTTTCACCGGCACCGTCCATTGAAAAAGTCCTCCTGTAAACGAACATGCACAGTTCCAACCTGCGTGGCTCAAGGGTCAGCTGTACATTTTTATTTCACACATTGAATTCGCACAACAGCTACCAGGAACGGCATCTCCTTTTTGTAAGTGAAGATGCTGAGGGGCCCGGGGTGACGTAACCAGCCCGTGTTCATGGCTAATAAGGGACAGCTCAGGTGGTCTGGCTCCAGGGAGTGACAGCTCGGAGATGGCAACTCTGGCTGGCCACCGCGTTTACTCTCCCTGAGAGCTTTGAAGAGCAACCCAACAAGGAAGAGGCCCTAAATAAGCCAGAGTCAATGTCACCCCCTCCAAGGGACCCCAAAAGGGTCTCTCTCCTGCGGTGATTTCCAAGCTCCCTGCCTGTAACTCTCTCCCTGCTGGTGTCTGGGGTACAGGAGGAAGCCAGCTCTGAGCCCTCAGCCCTACCCAAACGGCCCCACCTCTATCTGTTTTATCGACGGGGTGGTTTTCTGCATTGTTCAAGCTGAGGCTGACAGTCCCAGGCCTGGTCCGACTCCCTCTGAATGGCTGCGAGATGCAAGCACAGATGGGGGTCCCACAGCCTCTGGAGGACTCCCCCAGGCCCTGCCTCCACAATGCCCTCAGGCCACCAGCATCGCATCGCTCATCAGCTGGGGGCCTGCTGAGGGGCAGCGTCCTCTTCCAACAATGAGCGGGAGGCAGCTCTCCTGGAGCCTAGGTACTCATGGGCGCTTATTCCCCAGCAGGTGATGGGGAGCATCAGTGCTGAAATGCAGATCATATCGGGAGCCAGGAGGTAGGGCCGCCCCACCGTGGGGGTGGGGGCAGGGCGGGGGCTCTGGGCTGGCTGGGCCCTCTGCTGTGGCCACAGCCAGGCCCAATCCCCAGCCAGGTGCACGGAGAACCCACTATCCTGAGCACAAGAAAGGCCTGTTTCTCTTCGGTGGGGTTTCAACTAGTCATTTTGCTCTTTCATTCCTCCTCACCTTCATCCCGGCTTCCCCAGGAAGGCCCGGTTCTCCCACTGCCCCTGGCGGCCCCTGCAAGAAAATGCCATTGGTCCCTTCTAGAGGAAAATGCCATGCCTCCCTCTGGTTGTAAGGGAGGCGATACTGAAGGAGGCTCAGAGAGGGCAAGGGCCGTGCCCAACGTCACACAGCGTGAGAGACAGAGGGGTCTGGGAGCTCGGAGCTGGGACTAGGGGAATGGAGGTGATTGGGCTCAGGCCGCTGAGCTGGGGCTGCCCAGAGGACGCCGAGCCCTCTCCCTCTCCAAGAGTGTGGTTTACCACATTAGGAGCCCCTTGGCAAGCACGAGGAGGAAAATTTCATGATTCACATAAGGCCAGGGGAGGAAGCCAGCAACTGCTGTGCTCAGGGCTGAGTGATTCCAGCCCTTCTCTCTGCAGCCGGCCAGGAGGACAAGGGCGGGAAGTGGCCCTGAGTTATCGCCATCGGCACGGCTGCAGCCCTCGTGTAAACCCTGGGGCTCAGTCTTCTCCTCTGGCTAAGGCAGGGGTGTCTGAGGATCCTTCTGAGCTCCTGCTGCGTGACCTTAAGAAGGCTGGTTCTGCAGTCAAACCTAAGCTGGTCGCAGTCCAGCAGGGTAGGGGCGGGGCACTGCTGCTTTCCCTGGTGCCAAAAAGAGGCACTGCCAACCCCCAACCCCCGAGGGTCTTGGCACCCTGCATCCCACCCACTGCCCCTGGGAGTCCAGCTCCGTACCCTATGCCATCCGAAGGCGCCTACCCTCTGCCAGGGTCCTACCCTTCAGTCTCTGCAGCGACCCCTAAGGAGGTCGGCGTGGAGGGGCTGACACCTCCTTAGCAGCAGCATGGGACAAAAAGGGTCCCTCAGCACTCACCTTGGGTCCCATCTCTCCTGGAGGGCCAAGTGGTCCTTGGGGTCCCTGAGGGCCCTAGAAGACAGACAGACAGACACACAGACAGTTGGGAGAAGCCAGCCTGGGCCTCTTTGGGATCGGAGGCTTGATAACGCAGTCTGGAGGAATGGGTGAGGGTGAGCACCCACAGAACTTGCGACTCCTGCAGCCCACGCCCCACCATGGACCACACCGAGGGTCCACCCCCTCCCATCCATCTGCACACCCCTGTTCACCCGTCTAAAGCCCAGGGGGCCCTCTCTGCTCAGAAACCTTCCCGCTCTGGGGCCTCGCTCACTCTGTTCCCTCTGTCTGGATGCCCTTCCACCTCAGACCCACTTCTGGAAACCCCCACCCAGGCCCTGGCCAATTCACTGTTCAAAAGGGCATCTGCTTGGCCCTCAGGATGTGGGGCTGCGGTGTGGCCTGGGGACAGGAGCCACCTGTGCTCGCCCTGCCCCAGTGGGGACTCTTCCTCCTGAGCGCCTGGAGGCTCTGTCCTCTCCTCTCCATCCCAGCAGCACCGCTGCACAGCCTACTCGCGGGCCCGACACTTGGGCTGTCCCCACCGTGTCTGGCTCCCCCCTCCAGCCGCACTGGGCTCTGCAGTTCCCAGGCAGCTTGTTAGTTTAACCTCAC